AGAGAGAGGGACAGGAGGGGATCCTCCCGGCGCCCCGGCTCCGCCCCGGCTCAGCCCCGCCCTGCCCGGGATGCTGCGCTCGGCAGAGCTCGGCTCCGTTCGGCTGGACTCGGCTCCTCGGCCAGCTTCGGCTACTTTCGGCCACGCTCGGCTATTTCCGGCCGCATTCGCCTCTTCGGCAAAGCTCGGCTCGCCTCGGCTGAACTCGGCAAAGCTCGGCTCCACTCGCCTCCTCGGGCCCTTTCGGCCGCTTTCGGCCACGCTCGGCTATTCCCGCCCGTACCCGCCTCCATTCGCCCACTCCCACAGCTCGGCTCCCTCCGCCCGGCCCCGGCTCCCTCCGGCTCACACATTTCCTCAGGGCACCTCATTCCTCGGCACACAAATTGCAGCCCCTAAAGGCTTGCGGCTCTTTCAACACACACACACTTGCTCCTTTAGGACAAGAATAGTTACATCTAAAAGCAATTCCCTCATTTTGCATCTCCTTTTTATTTAACCCCCCCAAAATCCCATACATATCACAAGGAATGTGCAGTTCTGGTTCCCCCACCCTCCATACCCTATTTGTACAAAGGACCTGGGCGCAGCACACACCCGAAATTCAACTGAATAAAGCCCGGCTTCAATAATCAGAATAAACTGACGTTTGTTTACAAATTAGGTGCAGTTTTGTATGGTGCTGCATAGCCTTGGAGCCGAGTCGAGGAAAAAGAGCTACAGCACTGGAACCTAAGTTTTAGCAGTCAAGTCATTTGTAACTTGTGCCATAAAGTACACCAAGCATAACTGCAGTATTATCTGCTGAAGTTCTCTACTGTGGATTTCGGGTACAGCAGCACGTGCTTTACTCCCAACAAAAGCTGCTCAGGTGGGGGGAGCCGGGAAGCCAAGTCTCTCCACTTTGTCTGAACACCATCTTCCAGGAAGGTACTGCTTCCTCTCTCCCAGGCTCCCTTCAGCAAAGTGGCAAATTCAGAATCCGGTGCCACAGGAGGCCCTTGGCTTACCTCCTTGTGGTTTTCAAACTGTTTAAAGCGAAACAAAAAGCATAAGAGAAAAACAGTGATGAGCATGAAACAAAAATCTCTTCAGCCACCTTTGTTTTGAGATGAGCTCTGAACTGAAGCTCTGGGAGCACAGGCGTGCAAGTCCTGCTAGAACAGAGCTGCCCAGCAGTGTCCCCAGGGGCATCTGGAGTGTTCACACTGCTGAGATGAGAAAAACTCACCAAACCCAGCCCAGGGGCCTGTGATCCTCCACCCACCTGGGGGAACTCCGGGCGCTGTAAACAGAGGCCAGAGTGCACACCAGGCTCTGCTGTGCCCGGTGAGGAGTCTCTGTATGAGCCCTGAGCCCTGGCATCGCCTCCCAAACACCACAGAGACCTCTTGTGCCATCAGAGAAAAGCCCTGGAGCAAACGTGTGTCCCCAGCACGATCAACAAGAGATGCAGAATTACCTCCTCAATAAAAACGCTGTTTCTGATGGAAATGTAACCTATGTCGACTGCGAGGATTTTATAGGAATACTGGCTCAAGAATTCAGTGACTTCAGGGATTCCATACCACAGGTTCCTGGGACTGCTTGGGCATCCAGAGTCTACAGTATAGGTTAAACTGGTAGAGCTGAGGATACTTAGCAGCTTTGTCACAGAGCTGGAACGTCACGCAGGGAGCAAGGGGTTCTCTCAGAGAGTGCAGGAGGCCAGTGAAAACAGCACCAAGGTACTCCACATCATCTGCTCCTAGAAAAGCCAAATAAATTAAACTATTGACATGAGCACGGACACTGGGGCAACCTTCCTTACTTTGGGCCTTGCCAGCAGCCCACAGAGCCTCACGCAGAAAAGAACTGATCGAGATCAAAAAGTGTTCCTAGTGACCTAGACAGGTGCTCCTGGCCGCTGAGGTACCTGAAAAACCCTCCAGACATCATCAGCTCTTGCTGAAGCAAATAATCCACCTTCACCGTGTTGTGCTAAACACACGCCCGGCCCTTAACAGGGAGAGACCCTGCCAGGCACCGCCTCAGAGAAGAACCGAGCTGTACTGGGGGGACACACCCAGCCAACGTGTACGAGTTAAACAGAATTTTCTCTCAGAACTGGGACTTTCAGCACCCCCCAGGTGCTACTCGACTGCCACAGACACACAGAGGGCTTCGTGAGGTGCTCTGGGGTTGGCCAGTCCTGCTCCAAGCCCTGCTGATGCCCCTGTGGTTTTAAGGATGTCCTCAAGGAGGTGGTAGAACCTCACAGTGTTTGCCCCTGGAGCTTAATTTCTGAAGTTTTCTTTAGGAAACGCATCCACTTCCTACTTAACAAGGCAGACCTCTCTCCCTGCTCTCGGGAAGAGCTGCCCATAGGCACGGGAACCACCTTCCTCTCCTGATCGCCACGCTCTGCCCTTAAAACGCTGTTACTGAGGCCAGCTACTTTCAGACCAAGACTGTCCATGCAGGGACAGTGTCCCTTCTCTTTAGGGTCAGGGAAAAAGGGCAGAAGCACCTACAGAGCTTCAATGCCCCTCCTGAGCACAAAGCACCGTGAATCTGCACCTCCTTCTGCTTGCAGGGAAGATAATAAAATGCCTCAAGGTAAAAAATGATAAGTGGTAAAAAATTATTACAAGAGGGTAGAAATGATGCCGCTTTCACTCCACTGCTAGAAATGACACATAAAACATAAAAAAAATCCTGTACCTGTTCCGTTTTCAGACTGAAGCAAAGCATATTCCTGGCTTCTAATGCAGCAGGGACAACATTTAAGAGAACCAAATTTCTTCATCTAAGCCACCACTGCCCTCCATCAGAACAGCCAGCACATCCACGACATCTAATAAGTGAAGGAAAAAAATGTAAGCAGAGGATCCATACTAACTGGGAAAACAACAGAGGTAGAATGCAACATTCCAGAAACACAAGGTATCTTTTTAGTTCCCAAAAAAAACCCCAAAAACAAACAAAACAAACAAAAAACCCCACCAAAATGGAAACATTTTATACGGCCGCCGTGAGGACTTTCTTGGGTTGTTACTGGTGTTTGGAGGGGTGTAAGAGCAGTTAACTCTTGTGTTTGTGATGCTTTTGCTTGCTTTTGTAACTTTTCCTTTAGTATTTTAATAGTTTTAACTAAAAATGTTTGTTGCTTTGTTGGTATAGTAGTTATCCTTTTTAGTGTATTTTTTATAGTTTAATTAGTTTTTAATGTATTTAGTATACTTCTTGTAGAAGTATTACAATTTTGTAAAGCATACTGCTTTAATAATGATTTACGTATAAACTTAGGCACTAGTCTTTTTAATTGCTGTTGTTGCTTTATTAATAAATGCTTTAAAAGTTTTATACTTTTTTGGTTAATTTTTATATATGTTGGTAAACTTCTTGGGCCTTTTACTTGATCTATAGCTCGTTGAGTTAGTTGCATTGCCTTTTGACATTTTTTAGGTTTTAGCATAGCTTGTGCCTCAGTGCGAAAATATGGTCTTAAGCTTATCAATTTATCTATACTTACTTTGTGAAGAGGATCTTTAGGCTGCTTTTGCATAGCTACAGCTTTATTAACTTCTGCTTGCTAGTGTGCACTAAATAAAAGTTTCTGATGCGGTGAGAAAATAAGTTTAGCAAGACTTTTATAATTTTTTGGTAGCAATATATTAGTACTCTAAATATAATTTAATATTTGCTTAGTTGGTTTATTAGTTACTCTAAACTGACTCACTGTAGCTTGCAACTGTGACAACAATTTTTAATCTAACGGTGTAATTTGAGCTGTTAACCTTTTGCTCGCTTGCTGCTAAAAAATTATAGGATAAGCTAGTTCTGCTGCTAGTTCTAAATTTGCTTATTTTCTTTGTTTCATTTTTCTTTTGTTAGAGTTGCCTAAACTTCTTTTTGCTCTCTGGCCAGAGCCTTTGTTAGGTCAGACTTTGCCTTAGGGGGTGATTTACTGACAGACAAACTCTGACAAACCGGTGATCTCTGTTTGGGGGGGCTGGAGGAGCCGTGGGCTCACAACGCGACTCTGTTTCCGTGTCCTCAGGCACGGGTCGCAATGGAGGTAACTCCACTGTAGACACAGCAGGTGGCATGGAAATACTAGGTAATTAATTTTCTCTGCTGTAACTTTTATTCTTCTCTAGTGTAGAGGTTGCTTGTGCAGCAGCTTTTTTTTCTGCCTTATGTTGTAATAACTCATTGTGAACTACCTTTTACAACTTTTTTAGCTTTTTGGCTGTCTTACCATCATCTAAAACGTCTTCATATAATTTATCTTTAAACTTACGCCACTTAGACAACTTATGTACTGTATGAGGATTTATAAAGAACCCCTTAGCATACCTATATGTTAATAACCTTGGCAGATCTTTATGTAAATTAATGTTTTTAATCTGTCTTTTCTGCAAGAATTCAGTAAATAAATCATATGCTGCTTGCCTCTCCATACCTCTATTGTCAGCGCTGTTGCAGCCCTCCGAGGTCGTCGGCAGCACGTATCGGCCAGGCTTGCCTCTGCAGTCACCTGGGGCACGGTGCACTCTATTTCAATTCAGCACTGAACTCTTTTTCCTCACTCCACCGTGGCGCCTATCACGTCGAGGTCACCATTTTTGTGTAAAAATGACGGGAGACAAGCCCATTCTATAACGTCAACAAGTTTCGGTTTATTCTAAGCACGCATGTACAGTTATACCCATTATATATTATATATATATTGCAAAACTTAGGCTCCTCATTGGTGTCTCTAGAACAGGTCAAGCTCGCCTTTGGGGCTTTCTCTGCTTGCTTTGTTTTCCCTTACACTTATCTCTTTGCTGACCGTTCTGCTGCTGGGAACCAGCTCACCCAAGGACGTGTGATATTGTTGCTACATCCGCTATTGCTGCACTCTGCAGTTTTCAGCTACTGCTTCACTAACTGCACGTAGTCATGGCCTCTCTCCCGAAGCCGCTCATCCACAAAACTCTCCACACACCGATCCGAATTTTTTGGCTATTTTCCCTTTTTTTTTTTTTTTGCTTTTTCCTCATTTTTTTCCTTTCCCGCATTTTTGGGCTCCTAAACCGTTTCTTTGTGCGATTTTACCACATTTTCAGATATTTTATCCACTTTTCGGCTCTTTCGCCGACTTTGGTCACTCTCCCCCAATTTCCGAGCTCCCCGATCCCATTTTCGCCCTTTCTTCCCCAATTTTTGGGCTCTTTTCCCATTTTTGGTCCCTTTCCCCGCATTTCCGCGTTCCCCCATCCCGATTCCGGGCTCGTTTTCCCGCTTTTGGGCTTTTTTTTCCCGTTTTTCCCTTTTTTTACCCCATTTTTTTGGGCTCTCACCTGGCGCGGTTCCCGCGTCCTGTCCCTCATGGCGGCCGCGCATGCGCAGGAGCGACCACAGAGACGGTCCATAGAGATGAATGGGAGGTCCTCCAGGAGCATAGAGACGAGCCGGAAGTTCCATAAAATCATAGAGACGAATCGGAAGTCCTCCAAAAACCATAGAGATGAGCCGGAAGTTCCATGATATCATAGAGACGAACAGGAAGTCCTCCAAAAACCATAGAGATGAGCCGGAAGTTCCATGATATCATAGAGACGAACAGGAAGTCCTCCAAAAACCATAGAGATGAGGCGGAAGTTCCATAATACCATAGAGATGAGACGGAAGTCCTCCAGAAACCATAGAGATGAGCCGGAAGTTCCTTAATACCATAGAGACGAATAGGAAGTCCTCCAGAAACCATAGAGATGAGCCGGAAGTTCCAATAAACCATAGAGACTAAGCGGAAGTAGTCCAGAAACCATAGTAATTATCTGGAAATTCCATAAAACCATTGAGATGAACAAGAAGTCCGCAGAAACCATAGAGATTAACCGTTGTCGTACGGAGGGCGGCCGGCGCGGGGCAGAAAGCCAGAACGCGTGGTGGCACGGACGGCGGCCGGCGCGGGACAGAAAGCCGCCCTCGCCGCCGCCATCCTTCGCCGGCGCCGCCGCGGAGCGCCTTCAGCCCTCCCCTCACTCACAGACACCGCCCCGCTCGCCGCTCGCTGCCGCCCCTCGCCCCTCCCGCCCCGTCTCGGTGGTTTTGGGGCCGCTCTGGCCCTTCCCGCCCCGTCTCGGTGTTTTTGCCGGGCGCTGGCTGGGTGGCTGCAGTACCGCCCTGTGTCCACAAGGCGGCAGCACTGCCGCCCGCCACCGCCGGGGGCCGCCGCTCGCCTCGGGGTCGCGGGCGGGGCCGGCGGCAAAAAGAACGGGCCACAGAGCCTGAAAGTTTTTACTGCTGCTTTTTTAAAACTAGAAAGGAAAATAAAGTTAGAAATAAAGATAGAAATAGAGAGAAAGAAAGGGTTAAAGAAAGTTACACTTAGAAAAAGAGAGAAAAAAATAAATAGGAAAAGAAAGAGAGTGAAAAATGAGAAGGGTTAGAATGAAAAAGAAAGAGAGTGAGAGTAAAAAAGAGGGGGTAAAAGAGTTAAAGCTGGAGATAAAAAGAAATAAAGAGTAAAGTATAAACTGAAGTACAAACTATAGAGAGAAAAATAAATAGAAATAGAGAAACAGAAAAAAAGAAATACAGGGAAATAGAAAAGCAGAGAGACAGTTAGAAACAGTGAGAAATGGAAACACACAGAGACGGACAGAAATTAAGTTAGAGATAAAAAAGTAAGATGAGAAGCAAAGGAAGAAATACTGTGAAAAAAAAATTACTAAACCCCACCAAAGAAAGACAGAAGCCAAAGGAGCCAAAGATGGAGGGGAAGGGAGCGGGGGCCATCATTACTAGGGTTGATTCAACTTGATTGAATGAATTTTTTTTATTTACACTTCAGCAAAACAAAAGAGACACTTTCCCTTAAGGTGGCCTAAGGGGACACTTCTTGGACATCCCCATCTCCAAAACGGACACAAAAACCCCTCCCGAGGAGTCCCAACCTGGCATCCCACTTCCATCCCCTCTGTGGTCCCCCACCTCAAACTTGTGCTCCCCTGACAGTCCCAAGCAAACCCTGCAAACTGACGTCAGGAACCTGGACTGGTGAGTTATGTTTTACAGGGAAAATGGATAGTGTTCGTGTTCAGGGGCCTGTAGTGTTGCATGGGTGGTTGCTTCCTGAAATTCTGAATGGTGAAGGATGTGTCCCAGACCAAACTTGCCACCACCTCAAACTTGTGCTGCCCTGACAGTTCCAAGTGGGTTTAGCTGTGTTCTGTAGATGCTTTCTTTGTTATGAATTGCATTGCACATAATGATAACAGTTGTTTTGTGGGTTGTAGGTCTGGATTAAGAGGCTGTGTCCTACTTTTGGAGGTCTTAATGTCCATAGCTCTGTGGGCTTATATAAAGCAATTGAGTCATAAAACAAAATACTTGGAGAGGAGAATTTTCTTTTTAAACCAAATGACTGTCATTTCCACACAGCTGTTGTGGCTATGGTTAACTTTTCTGGGCTCAAATGTGGGTGATGCCAGTGCAGAAGAGGCCTTAGGAACTGCAGCAGTGGGAAGTACTGCTTATTCTGATCCCTGATACACGCTTCTTGACTTCCCTCTGTGCTGAGCCTTGGCTTCAGACAGAGTCCGTGCAATCTAGGTTCAGTAGTATTTATCCTGTGCTGTTTCTTGAACACTGGAAGGGGTTTGCAGGCTCTTGCCTGCTGTCCCTTTAGCTGTCAGTGGCCTGTTTTGGTATGGGGCTGTTAAATCCAATTTTTCCAAGAGCTTTTCCAGTGTATCCTCAGTGTATCTGTCTTGGCTGTCACATTTCTACAAGAGACACCTGCTCAAGTTTGTTGCATGAGCAAAGGATCCTTCCCACAGAGGCTTTTCTGCATTGCACATTTAGTTAGTGTCTCCACTCTAGAGGGAACCCTCATTTGGAGCCAGTTACTGCCTTTCTAAGAAAAATTGTAAGATGGTCACAGACTGAGCTTACCCTTAGAAACACAGCATTGACTGACAAGGCTATCTGTGGAGCATGTGCCATCTCCAGAGAGGATTCAGTGACAGTTACTTGGGTTGTAGGAAGACAGCTGGTGGCAGCTGGCGATTTTATCCTATCATAATCAAGGTTGTCAATACTGCTGTTCTTCCTTTAGTTCCGTTTCTATGCATGTCAGTTCTGCAGCTGTGCTGATGAAGTGCCAAGGATGAATTCACTCACTTGTTATCTCAGTCTCTTATAGATTCTAGTTCCATTAATGGGCCTACCTGGTGTAGACAAGAGGAGAGTTTGGTTCGGGTTTTTTTGTCTTTACTTCTCCCTGCCCCCCCCCCCCCCCCCTTTTTTTTTTTTTTTTTTGAGGTAATTCTTCAACTCAGCCTTCACTCTTGATGC